AATCAACAATCAACAAAGCAGAGTCCTTTGGTATTCATTGTAGCAAAATGTTTGTTTATAAGGTGGATATTTGTAGCAGTCTGGAAAAATATCCGAATCATCTTGGTAGTGGGTTGTTTCAGGATCATCAGACCTTGCTCATAGTAGTCATAATCTTAGAAATAGGTCAGTGTCAATCAACTATGATTTTCTTGGCCCTAAATAGAGCAGAAAATATCATTAGCAAATGACCTCTTAACTACTTCATATGTTATGCATGGCTGGTTTCTCTAGTGATAGTGTCTTTTGTTCTGTCTCTTACCATCCTGTTTACTCCTCCAGCTCGGAGGTGTGAGCTTATATCCTTTTGACCAGGCTCCAAAACTCTGGCGCAAACCTTGGTTTCGGTAACATCAGAAGTCTTTTTGTGTTTTTTGATTGGCCAAAATTATTTTAGTTTCCAGGATTCTTTTCTTTCTCTTTTTTTTTTTTATTTTTTTTTATGTAATGGACGTTATGGGTGGAGCCTGTCTTATTTTGATAGGTTCATAGTCATAAATAAGCAGGCTCTAGTCCTGCAAACTTCCAGCATTTTTTGACCAGGTTTAGTTTTTCTTCTTCTTCCTCTTTTTATTTGAGTATTACCTTCTCATTAATTGAGAGAGAAGTCTCTAGAGAAAGAAAGAGATAAGGGTTTTAAAGGAAAATTCAAATGACTTATTTTAATTTGAATTCTTTTTAATTTTTGTTTATATTTTGTATTTTTATTGGGACTGTACAATCATATGATGTCAGGTGGAAACATGTACACAAAATTTCCAAAATCTAAGTACTTTAAGCTGGCACTGTTCATTTTCAAAGAATGAAGGTAAAAGTTGAAATGAAGCCAGTAGAATATTTGTTGTTAACAGTTCAGAATTTGAAATCAAAATTTGTTCATATACTATACTGGTGGAATACATTTGAGCATCAAGTGGTTAAAATGATTTTAAGATTTAAAATCATTTTAACACAGGCACAGACGGAAACAAATTTTATTGATGAGTTGGTGTCTTTTCATATGTATGGCCTCCAAAATGTTATCTTTTTTTTTTTCTTGTTGGATTGACAGAGTACAGTTATATTGTCAGCCATATTCTGATGGTAATTGGAAGAGGTGCCATGGATTTGTTAAATGTTTATATCTGTTACTTTGCTCAGATTTATGACAGGTCAGTCAAAATACTGTTTTATACTTGAATGCAATCTTCAGACCTGAAACAGACTTTCACCATTCGGTGTTAGTCTCAGTGTCCACTTTATGGGCACATCATGTTGAAACACTGTCTCCCATGCAATCACCAAAGTTAAGCAATGTTGACCATAGTCAGTACCAAGATGATGACTGCTTGGAAATACCATGTGCTGTAAGCTTGGATGTGATGTGGATGTGGCTTGTAATTGTTTAGAGAACACAGTTCAAATTCTCATTGTGTTCATTATATTCACTTAAACATGAATACCTTTGGGAAACCACCTCTTTTCCCCAGCTATGTCTTTAAATAACCTGAAAAGGGTTGATAAGCTGTAGAAAATGAAATGACCAAAAACAAATTTTACGTTACTGCCTAGGTCTTGATGTTTTCTGTCTATGTTAGCCATCAACAGTGTTGTCTGTGTATCTTATATTGAGATTACGCTCACTGGTATTAAATGCTGGTAGGGTTTCTGGCTTGCTTAGGATAGCCTTCACACACACACACACACACACACACACACATATATATATATATATATACACACACACACTCTCTCCTAAATAAAGCAGGCTTCAAAAGCCACCAGCGACATCACATGAATCGCGTCATTATTAATGACATTGATGATGATCTGAAAGTATGTAAACATTTTGGAAAAGAGTGCACTTCAATGGGAGGCCTAAAGAGACATGGTAATTCATAACAATAACAAGGAAGCAGCAGCACACTATGAGTTTGTGGCCATCATATATATATATATATATATATATATATATATATATATATAAAATATGTGGTGCAGTTCAATTTATATTACATGAATCAAAAAAAAAACAAATCAATTTCCATGCCTGATGATGTCTGTATGAACAGATGAAAGTACTTGCAAAAAAAGACCTTATACAAGTTGAATTTATTAAAAACAGGGATCACAACATTCATCTAGAGGTTCATGGGTTAATGTAATTTTAATAAATTTGTTTGCAAAGATGTATTCTCACCATTTATATCATTAACTTCACTAATCTTTTTTTTTTTTTGTATGAATGATTCATATAATATATATATATATATATATATATAAAATAAGTTTATTGTTATATTGCTGTTAGTTACATTGAGCTCTCCTCAGATTAATGTCCTCCTTGGAATTATCCCTGCCAATTACCAATTGGTATTTTATGTATATATATATATATATATATATATATATATATATATATACACACACACATATTTGGTAAGCATTACAAAATTTTGGATACAAGACTTTATCAACCTATTGGGCTATGGTGTTCTCATATTGCATTTCTTTTTCAGTGTTATCTCATATCAGTTAATACCATCCAGTCTATTAACCTTTAATTCACTAGCACTTTCATGTGTTGCTTAAAATATATCTAGCTCCCTATATCAGAGAATGCAGAAAGCAAAATGCTGTGGTTCAAGAGAATAAACTAACAAGCAACACAAAGGTGAATATACTGGAGAGTTTTAATTGAATATTCAATATCTCCTTAGAATGAAAAGCAGGAGGCAGATAATGTACCCAGTAGATTGAAATTGAAGATGGAAAGCTGTCACATGATGTGGTTCAAAATTCCTATAAAGTTAGTGAATATGCCATACATTGAAAGTTTGAAGGATACAACAGCCATAATTCCTATTACTATGGCAGATGTACGTACAAGTTACATTACTTAGTTTTAAACAGCTTAGACTTTCACACCTATAACCTGCCATGCCATGTTGGCCAACCATCTCCATTCCCTTCATGATCATTTGATAAAGAAAGCTTCTTCTCTAGAACTGTTATTTTGTGGACCAAACTCCTGAGAGCATGCTTCCCTGACAACAATAGTTTTGGTCTCTCTTAGTCCAGGGTCAACTGATATATATCCTACGTGTTTTCATAAGATACATTCCTCCCTCACAACAATCTCACTCAGTAGCCCTCTATTATGAGTGACCCTTGGATCTTGTTTTAAGTGAAATAACAGTATCAAAATACAAGAAAATAACAACCAAAGTGTGTATACTAGTCCAAATAGGGAAGTGTATAGCATATATACTTGGGTATAGTGTGAAATTTTACCTGTTTTTGATGCAAAAAAATAGGGGGTCGCACTATACACAGGTTTTTTATTTTTTTTACGAGTTTAAAACGTGTATTTTCAGTAACCAGTTACACTATACATAGGAATTTTTTTTTTCCAGAGAAGTTAAAATTCATGTAAAAAAATTCATGGGTTGCTCTGTACAATCTGGCCTATACACAAGGATACACAGTATTAATTTTGTGAAACACATCAGTTTGATGCTTTGACACATCATCAGTGATGTTTTTAGCCGAGGATCATTAGTGATTTTAGGTGTCACAACATCATACACCCTCTCCATGGTAACACACCCAATACTGATTGGATATCAACTTGTGTGCCATCCGTCATCTCCAATTGTTCACATAATGTGTGCAACACACTCCGAATCATACTCATCTTGCATTTTTTAGCCATATCACACACACAAACACACACAATTTTCGGTTCACCAGCTTCTGTGTATTAATAATTCCTCATCTCATAAGTTCCAATATCTATCCAAACATCTATTCTTGGGCCAGTTGTCTGTTGGTTTCAATAACACTCTGGATAATTAATCTCTAGTATGATCATTTGTTGTTCTTGAAATCTATCATGTTTTTGTTTTTACAGATCTAGTATCTATATTCCTTGTCAAATCTTTGTAGAGCTTCAGGTGGGCAAGTTTTGAATACAGCATTGTGCTTCTCCTAGACTGGTGGCCAACCACAGTCTGTCATACTGGAGGGAGAAAAGATGGATTCATATCTTTCCCAAAGGGATTTGTATGAAAGTAAGTGCAACAAATATGACTAGAATTCAAACTACACTCATTGATTTCTCATTACAAGCCAATAGAAATTACACTACCTGCACAGCCAATCCAAATTCCAATATAAATGAAAATAAAAACATTAGAAAAATTGCTGTGTATTCACATGAAAAAGAGTTTTGAAAAGAAATTATTTTTAAGATTTCATCGTGATTCTCATAAGAAAGCAGCATTGGCAGCAGATTTCCATACAAAAGAATGGTTATCACTGTTATTTACAGAAACAAGTCTGGAGATATCTATAATGAAACCAGGGAGTTAACAGAGAGGCAGTGATAACAAAATAAAAGAAAGTGAATGAAAAACAAAAGGAAAAATAGAGGCACGGTGTTTATCTATAGAATACGGAGTGGTCAAGTATGAATTATTACTAACTGAAAATTCATTGCTTCAGATGACACACCAGGTGAACAATTAGAATTTCTCCATGTAGCAAGATTGAACCAAGGCTTGTCTTACCCACTTGTTGTATCCATATAGAAAATTGCTGGGGTTTGATTAAACTCTCAAGAAGCATGCCTGACTATTCTCCAGACAAACAGCTTCATGTTTGCTACTTGATGCCAATCCCTAATAATGTGGGTGGAACACAAAAGATGACATTACTCTAGGAACATAGATGACAATTCTATCCGGAAAATATTGCTTTGTGAATACAATTCCAAAATGGCTTCATGATTTACCTCCTTGCCTTTCTTTCATCTTTAAATCATTTTCTTCATTTTCTTTTTGTTTTTTTTTCTTTTCAATTCAATAATCTTTTCTTGAATTCTATCATTCAAACTTTCTTCTACACTCTCGCCATTCTGTTTTCTGTATCTCTTGTTTCATTTTCTTCTCTTTCTAGTCTCTTTATTCTTCTCTTTCTAGTCTCTTTATTCTTCTCTTTCTAGTCTCTTTATTCTTCTCTTTCTAGTCTCTTTATTCTTCTCTTTCTAGTCTCTTTATTCTTCTCTTTCTAGTCTCTTTATTCTTCTCTTTCTAGTCTCTTTATTCTTCTCTTTCTAGTCTCTTTATTCTTCTCTTTCTAGTCTCTTTATTTTTCTCTTTCTAGTCCCTCTTTTATTTTTCTCTTTCTAGTCCCTCTTTTTTCCTTTTCTTTCTCGCCTCTCTTTCTTCCTCGTCTTTCTTCCTCGCCTCTCTTTCTTCCCTCTCTTTCTTCCCTCTCTTTCTCGCCTCTCTTTCTTCCTCCTCTTTCTCGCCTCTCTTTCTTCCTCCTCTTTCTAGCCTCTCTTTCTTCCTCCTCTTTCTAGCCTCTCTTTCTTCCTCCTCTTTCTCGCCTCTCTTTCTTCCTCCTCTTTCTCGCCTCTCTTTCTTCCTCCTCTTTCTCGCCTCTCTTTCTTCCTCATTTCTTCCTATGTTTGGTTTCATCCAGAAAGCCATCTTTTGCTTCTCTACTATATTGTCACCTTTCTTTACTAGGGCTTCTTTTTCAATTCATTTTTGACAATGTTTTTTTTATTTATGGCTCATCTTTGAATTAGAGTGTGTAGACTTCTTTTAAAAGCAAACCTCTCAGATTGAACAAGATGTCCAACTCCCCTTTTTTTCCTTCTTTTTTTTTTCTTAATTACTTTTTCATCATCTTCATACTTGCACTCCCAAAGCCTTCCTAACTTGAAACTTTCACATTATGACCTGTGTCTTTATCTGACAAGACATACCTTTTCTCACTACAATCAAGCTTACTTACAACAATTCTCTTCCTTTTTGGGAGACACATATTGAGAGATATTTGTACAATTGTAAAGGGGGGGAAAAAAAGCTGTATGGAAGAAAGTCAACAACATTTTATTTCAGCCATCATAGGCCCCACTAAAAAAGGTAAGATTATTTTTTAAACAGAAAATGAGAAATTGTACAGTAAAGACTATTTTATAAGTAGAACTTATTAGATGAGTAAACCAGTTGTGTATTTTTGCTTTTTAATAGTCATAAGTGATGTTATGAATATGTTTATATATTCTATTTTCTTATAAATATTTTAGATTTTTAAATTAATTTGTAATTGTTTAATTTACTTGACTTTTGAATATCAATGTAAATCACAACCTGAACACCTTTTAAGGGATAATATTCACTTGATCAGTTTTTCTTTCTCAAAATTTAAAATGTTCATTTAATATATCCAAATAGACAAAGAAAAAAAATTGTTTGGCAATATTAAACAACAACAAGAACTTAATTGGGTGAATATTTTTGAATGATCTTTGCTTTTGTTCCTATGTAATTACTGTTACTATTCAATTTAATATTTGTTCAAACTTTTAAAGTTTTGTAAAGGTATGTAATCTAAATATATCAAAAAGTTCACTGCATAAAAGAAATAATACCATCTGTTTCTTTTCACAGTTAATTTCAACATGTCTTCATTGTTTCAAGCTAGATACGAAATATTTTATAGTGAGTTTTGCTCAATCTGAAAGCAAAGAAATTTAAAATAAGAAAAATACATAAAATATTGATATGTTACATTGTAGCTGTTATAATTATTGTTGCATTTCCTTCTCAAAGTTGGCTAAGTTTTGAGATAAATTTGAAGAAATCTGAAAAATATACAGATTATAATGTATTAAAAGCAAAGATGAGTATTTTTCTACATGTTCATTATTATCCATGAATTGTCATTATTTATTGGGAAAGATAAGTGGTTTGTCATTGCCTTCTCCATCGTTTTGAATTCACAATATTCATTCCGCATTACTTTCCCAAGGGTAATGGTGCAAAAACTGATAATTTCACATTTAAATAATTTATAGAATAATTTGTTTCTCTGTATTTTCTAATCATCATCTTTATTTAAATCTAATTTTAAGAAATTTTTCATTTTAAATATTTCCTTTAAGAGAATAAATTTTTTAAATTCTAAATTATTTTAAAAAATTTTAAGTTTTTGTGTGCTTTTTTTAATAGTTTTTATTTTTTTAAAGTTTTTTAAGTTTCTTTGCAAGTATCATATCTTTAAAGTTTTTTTCCTTTCATAAATAGTTCTTTATTTTTAAATAGTACTTATTTTTTAAAATTTTTTTTGTCTTTTGAAATTTTTTTTTTAATAAATATATTAATACTTTTTTCTTTGTAAAACATCTGTTTTATTTTTTTAGGAGCATTTCAAATTAAAAAATTAATTGTATGGTTGGAGTAATCTATTAATAATAACAATAAAAGCTCTTACATTTTCTCTGTATGGTCTCTATCTTGTTTCAACTTTAACTTTTTCATGTACTTAAATATCAACATCTATCTTTTCTGCCATAGCTCATTCCAAATCATTTTTAAGGATGGTCAACAAATATTTTGAGTTTTCAGTATAGCTAAAGAAATTAACATACAAATACATGCGTACAACTGAAAAATTCTCAGCTCAACCATTCTCACAAAATCTGACTAAATATAAATTTTTTAAATCTTCATAATTGATATTGTTGAGTGTACATTTTATATATATAGATATATATATAGATAGACCTACAGGATGCGATGGGGAAATTTTTTAAATTAAGCAAAAAATGAAAATAGCACTGACATCTCCTTTTAACAGATATATTTACTAAAATTACACAAAAATATCTTGAAACGCAAAAGAGTAAATTTATTCAATAAAATCATGATTGGCTTCAACCACAGACTCAGACGAATTTGGAATTTCCTGCAACTTTTCTGGATGGTCTTCTTGTTTAAGTTGGTGGATGCTGCCATAATCTTTGCCTTCAGTTCATCTCTGGTGTTACAATGAGTTTTGTTGGTCTCTCACTCAACTGTGCCTCACATATAATAATCAAGTGGTTTGCAGTCTGGGGAGATAGGTGGCTAGATGTAAGCAGTGATGTGGTTGAAGAATTTGTCTGACAGTCATGACTGGGTTTTCCTGCTTGTGTGGCATGGTGCAGAGTCTTGTTGCCAGCAGCCACCCTTTCGACCCAAAATCAAAAACAAAAAACACGCATGCACGAAATTAAAAATATATAAAATGGCGATAATTTACCCATCGCACCCTGTATATGCATTTAGAAATGAATAATATGTGTATATAAGTGAACACTGAAGTCAACACCAAGAATTTCATGCTTGAATGCAATCTTCAGGCCATCTGAAACAGACTGTGTGTTGACCTTAGTGTCTACTTTTATATGTTCAATCCTTGATATTGTGTGCTCTAACCCATCAATATAGCATTCTTTAAAACTATATTTTTATCATATGATCTCTAAACAGGTTTTATTAAATTCAACCAGCAAGGTCTGTCTATTGTTTTTGTTTTTATTGTAGTAGGTAATATTAAAATACTAGACAACACTCAATGCAAGGAAAGACTAAATCCTAGAAGCTATTATATAAAATAAAGAACCGACATTAAATAAAATACCTCTTACTAGAAGTGTGTATAAAATATTGAATATTTGATGCATTCATTTTGGTGCAGTCTCATTTCCTTTAACAGGAGGTCACTGGACTGTTTCAAACTTTCACCTGTCTATAAAATACCAGGATGTAACCAGTAGAATTTTGCCTACCACACTGAGAGCAGTAAAATACTTTATCCACAATTTTGATCCTCATATGTAACATATTAAAAAAAAAAAAAAATACACTTAAAAATAAACAAACCTTATCAGTCGAAAATATATATATATATATATATATATATATATATATATATATATATAATTATTTATTTAAAGATATGATTCCAAATTGCGACATAAAGTCTCATGTTTCAAAACAAAAGCCGAAAACTTCAATGTAATTATTTAAATTAAATTGAGTTAAAGTAAGCTCTGTTCCATCTTCAAGCGAAATTTTTTTTTGGAAGCTTCAAAAAAAAAAAAAAAAATATTGAAGATGGAACAGGCTTCAATTTTGAAACATGAGATTTCTTATGTCATGATTTGGAATCATATTTTTGAATAAATAATTATATTTATGTTTATGCTCTACTTTTGTATCGAGTACTATTTTTTAAAAATAATAACTAAAATACTAAGGGACTTTGGATTATTTACCTAACCAGTTCCTTCCTATTTTCTATATATTTTCACATATTTTCATATATATATATATATATATATGTTTCATTAAAAATGACTGATAAGGCACTACAGTTAAGTTTTTTTAATTTTTGTTGTGTTTGAACAAGCGCTTTTTTTTCTTTTTTTGGGGGGACACAGTGTGTAGAAACTGTCCAAATTGAATAAAAAAAAAATTAATTATCTACTATAAAAATTTAAGACAGCTAACCTTATCCTCAAAAATAGCAACACGCAAGTTAAGTCAAAATTACAACAAATGAACATTATCTACAAGTTCAAATGCCCCTTAAAGAGCTGTGTTCTTGATCAAACCAAACTCATAAATATTTACATTGATCACACAACTACATGCCCATCCAGATGCTTTACATTACACCTATCTGATCAGAGCTTTATTAGAACCCATTTAAACACACGCACAAATCTACTAGACTCCAATCAAAGCATACTCATAGAAAACACAAACATATTAAACTCATCCACCTGTAAAAAAAGATTAAAATAATGGAAGCCCTAATATTAAAAAAGAAAAAGCCAACTCTTAACAATATTAACTATGAACAAGGCCACAATGTGCTAACCATATTCAGAAAATAAAACATCTCTATAACACACTAAAAACATACACATAAAATACACACTCAATTAAACTGAAAAAATAAAATCATCCTTAATAATGGCTAAAAGTATGGCCAAAAGCACACAGAATTATATAACATTTGGACAATTTCTATACACTGTTTCCAAAAATGAAAGCACTTGTTCGAACACAAGATAAATAAAAGCTTAATTGTAGTACCTTGTCTGTTATTTTTAATGAAACATGCATAAATGAAGGATTGCTGCCTAAATACACTATCAAGATATATATATATATATATATACACACACACACACACACACACTTGTTGATGCTTGCTCTGGCACAAACTCACATAAAGAAGAGAGGAAGATTAGTTGGTGGCCATCTTCTAAGTGGAAAGAACTTGTCTACTCTGAAAATCAGCATTCAAAATCCTTTCACCTACTGGAGAATCCATTAACAAGTAAACTGTATATGTGGACATATGCATAAATGCCAGATAAAGCTGTAATTATGATTAGTAGTGATAGACAAAGGCCAGGCTTGGTTGGATTCATGCCTTTTATAAATATTTATACAACTGTCTTACATCAGAATTAAAACAAAGCATGTTGTTTCATTTCCCAAATTGCTACCAATTCTACAATTTCATGCTTCCTATAAATATACCATATTTGTTAACATATAATTCCCCCCCCCAAAAAAAAATTTATGAAGTTAAGCTAAGTAAAAGTACCATCTAGGTAAACATTATCCAATGAGATACCTTCACATAAGTTCTTGGTAGATATATTTTTGAACCATTTTTGACAGGGAAAAATGAAATATTTGCTA